TTCGTAGAACAAAGGCGAGACATCCAAATCCACGACGCGATTAAAAGTTTGGGTGCTTCACCGGACGGCACCCTCACCTGTCCAACTGAATAGGCAAGTTGGAGTTTTCATTTTTTTTCAGGGGAGGATTTTTTCCGAGCTGCTGTTTTTCTTCTGCGGCTCAATTACGGTACCTCTGCTGTGACGGATGTACAGCAATGAACATCCTGGCCACGCCACTTCCCCGATCTCCCCAGCGCACACACAGCACCGGGCAGAGGACCCGGCGCACGTGACGAGAGGAGCCAACTGATCTCAGGTGAGAATGCAAGTTCGGGTAGATCATCTGTGCATGCATGTGGCTGATAACGCTGCCTTGTCGCGTCATGAGATGAGCGTCGTGTCAGGGAGATGAACATCGGTGTCTGTACAATCGTCGTCCTCTACAGCAGCCGCGTACATTGGTCGGCGGTAGGTGGGTGGACCCACACGTTTGTGTGTTCGCGCAGTTTAGACAAGCCGGGCAAACACGTAACTTCAGGAGCAACGTACAACGGAGGCCCAGGGCTACTCGTTCAGACTGCAGTTTGAATCATCTTTTGTTCTTGGCGACGTTCAGTGAGGGTCCCAAACGAAAAAGAAGTTACACACTCAAACCTCCTGCCCGCCTCTCAGATGTACTTGTTTCTATACACTGTTCCACCACATAATACTTGACTTTAGAGTAGACCGACGTGGGTGCGATTTTTTTTCGCCACGCGATCCCACGCGACGTGCCACGCGTGAATCTGCGAAGAAATTGTTCATCTGTCGAATAAATGTGGTGGAAGAAGAAGCAGTTGTCAGTCAGCAGTGCGGACGTTTACAGCAATACTGTACCCACTGACTGTATCAACCTGTGTTCTAGCTTTCTTCTGTCGCATGATCAAATTGTGTGCCGCGCCAGCTAAGAGCACCAGTGTCGCGAACTTACCCACCCAATAGGAGGTACGCTAGAACAATTGGACCCGAAGGATCCGCAATTCAACAGAAATTAACGACAGACAGCCCACAGGACCCTCCGCTCTCCTCTAGAATACACACTATGTGAGGGAGACTGTAAAAAAGAACAGGAAGAGAAAAAAAACACACACACACACAGAGGGAGAAAACGAGACGCGACAAAAGATATCTAGAGACACACGCCAGGACCACTACAAATAAAACATGTCAAAATATTTAAAACAGAGTCACCCGAGACAGCAAAGGCATGCCATCGCTCGTGCGAGGTTGGTGCAATGGTGCAGTGACGGAGGGCGGGAGTTAGTCAATCAAGGGGTTCAATCCGGCATAACATGTCGCGCCGCTTGGTCCGACTCTTCTCGTTTTCTTTGTTCCCTCGCCACCTCGTCCGTCTGCTGCCCCCCTCTCGCCCCTTGGTTGTTACCATGTCCGTTCTGTTGCCGGGGTTATTGTTTCGTTTGAGAGCTCGCTGCCGGTTAGCCTCCTCTGCATCCTTGTGCCTGGCGGTGATGAACTTCGTAGCTCCGTGCAGTACCCCGTATGTCATGGTACACCCCGCTCCACCTTCGCTGCTTCCGTCCACGTTGTCTGCGGGACTCCGAAGACACATGGCTCGGGGTCCGTAGATGCATGCTCTGCCTCGAACGTCTTGAGGTCGTCCTTCAGCCAGATTTGCTTCGTCTTGAGGGGCGTGTACTCATCTAAGCGCACCCGGCAGCCGTCAGACCATTTGCCTCGAATCCCTCTACAAGGCCGGGACGGCGCGATATGCCGAGGTTTCGCCGGCTCACGCCACGTTTGACAAGGGTGAACCCGAAGCTTCTGGTCATCAATTATTCTTGCGTTTGCTATACGGGAAGGGAGGGGGGGGATAACGGTGGACGGAACAGGTATATCTTCAGCTTTCTCTTCCTCAAATCACAGGCGAATTCTCTTAGCTTTGGAGGCATCGCATGAAAAGCCTTGTTCGCTTGTCAAACTCCTGAGAATTGTCGTCATCGGAGTTGCTTCGATGACACTTCTTTGGACTCGCGGACGTTTTTTTTTCCTTGTGCGGAGAGCTCTCTCGGGTGTATTAATGTGAAAGAGAGAAGGACAGAAATTCGTTGTATCTACTTCCCAATCGAATATTTTTCCCCATCAAATAGTCAGGTATTCGATGAAGAAGATAGTTGCCGAATTGACTAGGTTTGATCCCATACAATGTAGAAAACGTCTCCTTTATCGAAAAAACATTCATCATCGAGGGGGTGCGGATACTGCCGATAGATCGTTCCTACTGGGACAAAGCGTAGACTGAAAAAGTTGGAGCTGGCTGTCGACGGCAACACCTACGAAAATATCCCACGTTATGGCAAAGCTCCACAGTACTCCGATCGGTTCCGAAAGTAGGTCCTCCCGTCCTCCGACAAATTACAGTCCAATCATTGGTTCCTGGAATTACTCTCTTGTTTCACGCAGATTTACCGGAGGCCGCTCACACGCATCGCAGACGCTGGACGTGATCAAGACCATCATGCTGAACGACAAGCAAAAACATGTGGGTTGAACGCAGGGCTTCCTTGAGCCGATAGACAGAGGGTCAGGTATTGGCGCGTGTCCTTGGAGCCAGCTGGATTACATGTGGTACAACTCGCGTGTACCAGAAACCAAAACAAATTGTGGATGCAAGAGCACCGGACGGAGCCGACGCAGGGCGGCGGGGTCACCAGTTTAGCCAGTTCAGGAGATGAAGCAACGTGATGCTTGGGAGTATACGAACGTGAATGTCTTTGCGAGCGATGGAGTGTTCTCTTGCCCTTGGCGTTATCTTTTTTCCTAGTTGTTCGAGTAAGGACCACCGAAGGTTTCCGTATTGTTGAGCAATCGGGAATAGGGGTTACAGGCTGAGAAGCGCAGCGACCGCTCATGGAAAGGCAACGGCAAACAACCAACATTCCAGTAACATCAATCCTTGTCTGTGGGTCTAGTATTCGATCTTCCTGTGATCAATCCCTCACTGCCCCTCATATCGCCCCACTTGAGAGTCGTGTACAGTATGGTAGGCCACCCCAAACCTATCGAACGGAGATCCCGATGTACCTGCAACAGAGGATCACATCAGCCTGTCCAACCCTCCGTCCTGTCCAAAATGGCATTTGTTGCAGGATGTGATTGACGCCGTCAATGTGGATTTCGACATTCCTTTGCTCTCGGAGGGAATCGAAAGGAGATTTATCGAGAATTTCGTCGACCAGGTACCGAAAGAACTAGCCGTAGGATGGGTAGAACACCGCATGGACAAAACCGCATGCTTATCCAAGACCTTGAGACGCATAGAATCGAAAACAAGACCGGAGCACCAAACGTAAAAAAGTCATTTGGAAGGCGAGCTCAGGCGCAGTCTACCGGCAAATGCGACTTCAAGTAGGTTGTCCTTGACGGGGGCAACGAAACACGAAATTGAGGCCTGACCTGAAATTGACGTTTCTCCCCTGCGCGCGGCTATTGCTGTAAGTGGCATTAAAAATGTTACGAACAAACAGGACGAGCGCAGAAATTTTCAACCCCTCTGGTGTTCGACCCCAACACCACCGACGTGGTGTAAGGAGCTCGAGGTTCAAACAGAACATGAGACATGTGCATGTCCCCCCCTTCATGGTAGTGGGAAGTGACCTGCTTGCCACACGTATCTTCAGGCAGCCAAGCTCGCCATCCACTGGGCCCAACATATTGTTTACCGTCACTACATGTAGGCGGTGCCCGCGATGGAACCATCGCTTTCGGCGCTCATGCCACCCGCGTATGTGGATCTGGTCAAGGTCGCGCTGGACGAAACCCTTACGGCCGCCGAAAGGTGAGTTAGCTCAATACAAGTACCTGCTCCTCGTTCGCGTCTGGTTGAGTACCAAACGAGCAAGTGGGCAAGGAATATTTACGAGATTTCATGACCACAAAGTCTATCAGCAAGCATGCTGATACATAGCGTGCACACGCTCGCTGGGTGGGTTGTTGCCGGTCAGGTTGGAAACGTTCTGAAACCGACGCTGGTCGAAACGATACCAGGGGAGACGTTTCCCACCACTCCTGCGGGTGTGCCCCAATGCCGTGCAGCAATCGCCTAATCCCATTTGTTTCGGGGGGGCAACTACAGTAGTTTCATCGCACAATCCCCAATAATCTACACGCACATGGGCTCGTGCACGAATAATTGCTGTGTAAACCAACCAGGAAGGAATGCATGTCCGCACTGCTACGTGGCGAGCTGGCCGTTCCGCTGTCGAAGCAACTCAACGAGCGCGTGGACGTTTCGTACATCCCGGAGAGCATGGAGGGCAAGGTTCTCAAGGTCGTGGCCGAAAAGATGGTCAACGAAATCGTCGCGGCGGCCGTAAAATCGGACTAAGGAGGCCAGGCAGAATTAAGTGACCACACCGGCAAGCTTGGCTCCGTCATTCTCGCTTGACCACGGCAGCATTCATGTTGTCCTTGTGTAGAGTATTGTCGTTCATGTCGACGAGGCAACAGCGGGAGTAGAAGCCACGTGCGGGCCTACTCTCAAGTAGGACGAAGGTTGGCCGAGAAACACCTGGGCTCGTTGCCCCGTACAAGTAGGCCTTATCGAAGAAGCTTTCAGCCTAGGAGGAGGCGGTGACCGTACTGCTGTTGTTTGCCCACGCGAGTGGGCCAAGAAGGTTCATCACATTTCTTTGTGACGACCAAGGTTTGGTCGACATGTTTCAGTCTCTATCGGCTGCCTATACCACCCTCCGTAGGGTGAGCCGGGGGTACGGGCTGACGAGGCAGGTATCCTCTTCTTGAGGCTACCGTGGTACGTTTCATGAGATGTCCCTTGACGTTACTGTGGGCTGCCCACGAATCGCCATAGGGATAGGGCCACCCCACAGGGGCCGACACAGGCTGATCGCGACCCCTGGCCCCCCTTGGGCGGCCCACCGGACCCACTGTAGGTTCTTTTGTATTTTTGCACTCACGGAACATCCTGGTCGACCGTAGTTTGGGGGTGGCGGACAATGGGCGGCCCGTGAGTCGCTTGATCGAAGCGTATGTATGCTTACGTCACAATATATCCTGTAATGATATTCTTATGATCACCCATTGTCCCGGCTTTCCCAGACGCGCTGTCGCTGTCACTGGCTACCATGGACGCCCAACTTCGTCCCTTTAAACCTGTCCATATCCTACAGGAGTCCTATCGAGAGACTCTAGAAATCCTACCACCGTACACTTGGGTGATACATGTCCTAAACGCTGCTGGATTGATTCTATTTCTGTACGTTGTTCGAGCAACCAAGAGAGAGATCGTATTTCCAGGTGTACGTAATCGGTTGTCTACACTCATCAAAAGCAGCAAGGGCGTATGAAGACGTGACTTACTGTAGAGTTCGAAAAACAACAAAGGGGTGGTGTCTTTGTGGCCGAACACAGGAACATACATGCGTGGACAACCATTCCCGCGAGGCTTGCGCACCCGTCACATGGTACCCAATACCGTCAACCTGCATCCACACCCATACATTCAAAGCGGGAGGTCACCGTGAACTCAGGAAGCTTTGGCGTTCAGTGACCCTTGCTCATTTGGATTCTGGGAGTATCAAGCTACAGAGAAGAGCACCGTCATCAAGAAACAGCACAAAGGCCTCGTCCAACTACTTGGTACATCGTGGAGTGATGCCCCATGTAGGGTATTTCTCGCCCCTTCTACTCTACCGTACAAATCGCGCCGGCCTCTTTGATGGTCAATTTCTATCTCTATCCTCTCTCTCGCACCCTGCTATCTCGAGGAAGGAGCGTCTTCTACCACCCATTGGATTACTGTTGAGTCCATCCTGCGATTGTTCCAGCGAACGGTACGATGACAGAGGAATGTCATCAGCAACCTTGGAACCGAAGGAGGCATTAGTGCTTGGGAGAGAGTTCATATCACCGGAGGAGGCAAGGGATGGTTACGGTTTGCATCCCACGAGTTTTCTTTGCCGGAAGACATCCGCGTTTTCGGTGGCGGAAATGATTGTATTGCATCGGAGAGGGCTTCTTGCGCAATATGTATGCAAAAGAAGGAAGATTCCGGCGTTCATGATTACCACTCTAAACCATGTGGCGACACAGTTTTGCTCCATCCATGTAGCGATATTGTTCATATCAGGTATGCCCCAAAACAACCCTGGGGCCTAACCGATGTAACGCCGGTCAGAAACGGTTTTAGCTTTACTTCTCTTGACACAGCTGGTGTTGTCTATGTGGAAGTTCGCGCTGCAAATATAGACGATGCTTCTTACACACATGCATGCCGTCAAGCTACTGCATTGAACCATCAAAGAGTCTCACCCGCCAAGCGTGATGAGCCTGGTTGGCTCCAACCCAACGGTGAACCTCGCACCCATCACGTGCGAGCTGTGCGCCGTGTAGCTACGATTCCGCGCGCCCCCCCTCAGCACTGGATATCTCAGCAATCTCACAGTCTTCGCGTCGTCGGCTGCGGCTAGGAGGTCACGGTCTTTGCACAGGTCCACGGCGTTCACCTCCGTGTTGTCTGAGTATGCAGGGAACACTCCCTGCCAGCACGATTTTTCACATACATAAGGTTTTCCATCTTTTCTTGGAGCACGATGTACCAACAACTTGACCATGTGATCATGTGGAGAAAAACTGGGTTCATCGGTGGAAACTGGTTCTTCGTTCTTGTGCGGTATCAGTTGGCCACGATGATGACGGCATTCGCCCCCCAGTTTTTGCTCATCTTGAGGACAATCATGGTTCGAAGCAGAATGTGCGACACACTCGGTGCACCCGCGGACCGCGGTTAATCTTCGCGAAAGTTGTCCCGGGTAAGGTGCGCCAAGCCAAGTTGCCCTTCGAGAGTCTTTTCGGGTATGGCGGGCCTCGCGGATTCTTCCCGTCTTGCAACGTCGAGTCCTGCATGCGCTCGGTGATGTTGAACTGCCGCATTGAACAGACACGCATACTGTACGGCATCGAAAGACAGAAACCAATCGTTGGCGTTCGCGTGTTATGTTTGCTAACCTGCACTGGCCATCCGATCGTGCTGGACCAAGTCGCCCACGGTTCGTTCCTCACCAGGAACGCCCGCTTGAATATTCGGGGACGGGACTCTCCCGCGAATGCCTCATCGTCCTCTTCGTCGCCTCCACCGTTGCTCGCGTCCCGGTCTTCCCCCCCATCTCTAGCCGCACCGTCTCCTTGGCGATGGGAGGACGGGGGAAGAATGTCCCAGTGCAAGAGATGGTAGTCCTGTCCGCAGGTGTGCACGAAGCGCCCATCCTCGGTCCAATCTAAGTGGAGCACTCTAGAGCTGTGGCCCTTGAGGTGGGCTATTCGCCGGTAGACCTTTCTTCGCTCTCGTTTTGGTCGGTACGAAGGCGACGACTCGCTGCCGGTGTCGGCCGAAAACTCTTCGTATGCGGGGTCTCTCATCCCCATCCCCTCCGGCACCCCTGGCGGCTGCTCAACACCCCGGCCTAGGCTAATACCTCTTGACCTTCCTCGTTGCTCCCCCGCGTCGTCGTACCTTCCGTCGTCGCGCTCAACGGCCATGATCACGAGACTTCCGTTCTTGCAGCCAATCGCCAGGTGAGATCCCGACGGCGAATAGCGCATGCACGACGCCCCCATGCCCCGTGGCGGTTCCCCGCCGTCGTCGCAGTATCTTCGACGGCCCCTTCTGGTCTGATCATCTACGATGATTCGTTCGACAACAACGGGCGCACAAGATACTGATATGACAGCAGGTTGATGGACCGTGCGTCTCCGACACAAATTGGAGCCGTGAGTGGCGACCCCATGATAAAGGAGGTTTAAGTGTGCTGCGCATGAACCTTCCCTTAAACAAGGAGAAGGTGAGGGAATACCTCGCGCAGGCTGTCACCACTCAAGTTGATGAATACTCTGTCCCAGCCCTCGAACACGGCCTTGGGTTAGGCCTCAACATCGTAGCAATACCTTCAACGTAACAGTCGGAAAACATGTTCAAGCGGACATTATTTTCTGCGAGTGCTACGCTGAACGCCAGATGCATGAGGGCTCACGGCTTGACAGGTTCAACTACGCACCAATCCTGAACCCCGCTCCTCTTCCACCAGGCACCACCCCAAAGGTAGTAGGCCGAGAAGGACTCTTGTTTGGAGACATGGGCGTTTCGGGGTGCAGCGGGACTGGCGGGGCTCCCCCTCGCCCTGTGTCGCACACGGCTGCCGACCTACCAGCGGCAGGATAAATTATTGTTAGCATGGCGTTTGTTGTTAACAACACTGTTCTCGATTGAAACGCAACAACAACAGAACCGCCTTCTTTAATTTTGTAAAGTTCATCGCTAACCGCAGGCGAGAGTCCAGCATAACGTCTAGTACGAGTCTAGCCGTGGAGATTTCGGCAAGCATGAAGCACTGTAGTAGACCCGCAACCAACCACCCCTCCCGTTTGCATCTCGGGGATCCACGTCTCTTGCAGTCCACCATACCGGCAAAGTCCACTAAACATCAAGCGTCAGAGTCAGTTTCTCTCATGTTGTGCATGTTGCCTTGAGCCTTGGCTTGTGGTAGGAACACCAGACGCAACAAGTGCTATCCATTTTCCAACCAACTTTTCCCTGTCGTCCCCTTTTCGTCTCTAAATTGCTTGTCAATTATTTCCAACATACATAGTGAAAAACGCGATTTTGGCGGTGCTTTCGTTATATTACCTGGTCTAACCCTCGTTCTGGACTACGTTCTGATCCTCCCACAGTTTTCGTGGATTTTTCTTCTGTTTCGATACGCATGAAACACGCAACACGATTTCTGAAACCCGTTTCTCACACCAGCGAAATCTAGATATTCTTCTCCTCGGCTTCCTGGTTGAGCCGCAACCACCCCGTATCTAAAGTTAAATGAAAACTCGGCCTCGGTGAATCGTACCAGAAGAGACCGAAACCCCGCCGGCTGTGCTTTCTCACCTCACCCTCGAGCGAGCTGGCGATACCCTTGGGGTTGGGTGCGGCAAATGCGGAAGGCTCGCGCCGCCGCCGCTCGTGCCCCCGTTGCTAGGTGCGCCGCCGCTGCTGCCCCCTGCACGCGACGTGTCCTTCCCGTCCAGCGTCACGAGATTACAGCGGTCCCAAGAAGGCTTCGTAGTGTTCCAACGAGCGTTGGGGCCTGGTGGCCTGCGCTTGGCCCACGCCGAGTCAGGCAGCAGCTGTTTGGAGTGCCGCAACTCGATCCCGGTTGCCGCGTTGTTGCCTATACACAAGTCAAGACACACGGAGGGAAAGTTGGAGAGAAACTGCCTCACAGCAGACAACGTTTCGGTCATCGATAGCTGATGAAACATTTTCTGGCGAAAGGAGACGTGCCTCGAAGAACCAACTACCCTCACGCTACATGGAAGCACGCAATGGGGCTTTCAAAGCCGCACCGCAGGCCCGGAAACTACGGGAGAAGGAAATCGATTCTCCTGGCAGTGTTGTTGTGAGTTGTGATGGTGTCTTACCGGAGTCATCACTCCACTCACGCTCCTCTTGCGTCGGGTCGGGCCTTTGTCGTGCTCGGTGCACCTTCAAGAAGAATATCTCGTTGGTGGTGACGGTCCCGACCGCGACTTCTTCCAGGTCAGGGCTGCACGCCAGGCAGGATATCGGGCTGGGGAGGTTGTGGCACCAGGCCATCGGGAGATTTGAAGCGGTGTTCCAGATCGCTACCGACCTGAGCGGAGCGGGAAACGGTGGGGTGGGAGCGATGTGTGTCTCAAGTGCGTAGGACTTGTTGTGTTGCTGGTTGATACCGTGCCTGCAGGTCGGACGCTACCGTAGTCGAACGTCTCCTGGACGCGGCACGAGATACGTGTCATGATGTACCACGGAAGCTCTCAGGCGCCGTTCCTGTCTTGCTGCCATGATGTCGTTTGGATTGTCAATGAGTGCTGCTTTGCGGATGAGAGCAGAGTTTTTTGCGAATTGCTCATCTTCACCTTGTCCTAGCTCGCAACCATTCGACTGAGACGGTCCTCGGTCTTGTTGTCTATCCTTCCCTGCGCTGCACCTACCTGTCATATCCCGCAGTGACATACTCAGGAACACCTTCGAACACGGCCAGCGCCATTACGCTCCCGGAATGGCCTTGAACCAGACGCGTTACAGAAGGTTTCTTCGACCGTCCATCACCATCGACGGGGTTCTTCGAGAGTTTGAACCCATCCGAGTCGAAGGCGGGACCGGTGTTTTGGTGCCCGCTCCTTCCCCTTGGCGAAACCGCTACCACCCGGCGGTCCGAAGAAGTTTCTCTTCGCGTCGGCATCGATCATAGACACGGATGGGTGTTCGACAGGGACAGAAGACGGCGGTTCGGGCACGTCAATGTGCGCGTCGGTCATGTTGCGAAACCGGTGACCTTGCCACCCCCCCTCTCGTGTCTCAACTTCGATGAGTTTAGAAGCAGTGCCGGTTTTTCGCTCCCGCGGGTCAGCATTTGTCTCCTGCAACAACTTTCGTACCATTTTTTTGGCTGGACGTTTACCAAACAAGACGATACAGTGCGCGGTTTATCACCCCGCGTGGGACGGAACGCACCTGTCATCGGCAGGGTACTCGAGCAGCAACAGTACGTTGGTGTTGAGGCCGGTCAATAGCCGCGTCCCATCTTTTGACCAGACCAGACTCTTGCAGTGGTTTGCTCTCGGAAGGGGAGGGGACGTGCGGGCCGAACTCGTGCCCCCATTTGCAGATTTCTCTAGGCCCCTCCTCGTGCTGGAGAACTCAAACCCGTCCACGTTGCCACAAAACCCGAACATGTCGACACGGGAGGGCCGGAAGGCGCTATCGCTTCCGCCGGAGGGTTGAGCCACTGTCAGGGAGATCTCCCCTTCGTCTTCTCGTCCCAGAGTGGTCTTTGGCGGCCGTGTTGCAGGGTCGGAGAGAGGGGGAGAGTCATAACCATACGTCACGTGAGAATTGGGTAAGCTTTTCACGGTACGCAAGTGGGTTAGAGGAGATGACCTCGATTTCTGTATCAGACTGATGGGTGGTGGACAATAGAAAAGCGATGGGCCGACGTTGAATGCAGGGCGGCTGACACTTGACAAGAGGCCTCAACAGTCACGCAGCTTGGTCACACGCTCCTGGTGACTGTTTGCACGTCAGAGACCAACTGTAGCAGCATATGATGGTTCACCTCAAACTTGTTCTAACACCGAGGTGACACGGTGCATCAAGGGGGACGACGTGACCGACGACAATGCAGAAAGTAGTACATGCACAGACAATCAATGACGACCATCGCCATCCCAGTTGGTTAGGAGGGTGTACATGCACCGACCGCCTGCTTACCTGATAGTCCATCTCGAACACATCCACTCCACCCACCCGACCATCCCCCCTAGGGGCCTCATGCCCTATCCGTCGGAGCGTCGGCTCCGAAGGGTCCCGACTTCGAAGGTTCTTCTGGAGCTTGTCCTCCTGATGGTTTCGCCTGGCGTTGATCAGACCGACGAGAGAGGCGTTCGGCGCTATCCCGCGAGTAGCTGTCTGAGAGGCAGAGGTTTCGGAGTGGCTGTCGCTGCCGGAGGGCTTGCCGGTCGCTGAAGCCCGCCGTGTCGAGGATTGGGGGACCGTTGGATCAGAGCAGACCGTTGGGTCGAAGAAGAACGCCTGCCACTGAACGACCTCCCCGTTGGTGCCAGCGGATACGACCTTGCCGCTGGGTATGGGAGAGTAGTACGGGGCGCAGCGGTAGCCCACATAAAACGGAGGTGCGGGAAGCATCAATGTCAATCACGTCTAGTCAGCGACCACTGTAGCTCTAAAGTGAAGCCCTCGCCTGTCAGGCCCTGATTCTCAACGGAAGGGCAGGCTCTCATCCACGTGGAAGGTGGTTCCGCGTGCCAACAACACGCCTAGACGTAGGTGGGGGATGGACCGTACCGCAGCCCAGCCCTCAAAGAAATTCAGAAATAAAAGTCCGACAAGGGTATAAGCATCGATGGGTTGAGTAATATCGGCAACTCAAAGATCCAATCCCTGATTCCAAACATCCTTGAGGTATTAGATGTGGCGAAGCGCAGTGGACGACCGGCGATCGCTTTCGTCTTTGGTGATAACTTCTCTGTTCTTCCTACCTCATAAAACTCCGACCAGGCGTGGCGGAGGAGTTTTCGAAACATCTCCAAACTTTAAGCCATTTTGACGACAAAACTGAGGTGAATATTGCTACTATTTTTCGCACGTTTCCCGGTTGAACGCGAGTGCCGAAACGCCTCCCTCGTGACCAGTCAAGGGCCCGGTGTACGAGAAGCGATCGTGCTGCCGCTTTAGCTCCTCGAAAACGTCCGGGTGCAACGGCCTGGCAATGAGGATACGTAAGTCGAAATGAGGTGTTATAGCGGCACAGAGGCAGCGGGCACGGCCAGATTTGATTCCTTTGAGTAACGTAGTGGCAATAATATGCTGTCCTTGGATCACACCAATTTTGAAACTCGCCCACCCAGCTGCTGGATCGTCAGTAGGTGGTCCAGCCGAGGATTGTCGTGACGATTGTGTCTTGAGACAGACCAGCCATGTTGGAGGCTGGCCAGGTATACACAGTGGGTAAGGCAAAGACGCTACCCATACGAAGACTCACTTGACCGCCATCTTTTTCTCGAGTGCAAACACCCTCTCCTTCGCCTTATCACTGAGCACCAGGTCATTCGCCGCCTGAGTTCGATGCGTTGGCGGTATTGAACACCCAACTAGTGGAGCACGATGCAGGAAAAGGATATTGGGATACATATCGTGCTTCGGGAGCACGTTTGCGTGGCCAACAAAGTACCTATGGAAAGGTTGTGGAGTAGCGCTCCTTGGCAGACTGTTGCTGTGGCTGATGGTGTTGCCTTCACATTCTAAGCTGATCTCTGTTAATATCTTCAAAATTCGGCACGGTTCCAACTAAGAGTTTGCCCCAGAACATCTACCCGAAATCGAAATGATGGCTCACACCAGTCGTGAAGCTGTGAGGTACCTGTATGCAGTACAAAAGCGAAAGTCGTCCTCACTGAACCGAACGATGCCGACCAGTCTAGGTCCGGTACCCGTGAACGATTGCAAAAGCGTTCGTGATTTGTCGGCTCGAATTGTCTTGCACACTGTATTTGAAACCAAACAACATTGGCATAACCACAAATAGTAGCTGACCTCTAACGAATGTGGGATGTTGTCCACAAGCTCTGCACCCAGGTCCCAGAGCCGCTTATTCGCCGTCACTTCATGCCCCGGACCGAAAAGCCACCACGGATCAAGGAATATACCCATGCCCCCCTTCCCCCTTTTGACATCCTTCGCGAACTGCCCAACGGTGAAAGACGCGCGAGCGAAGATATTTGGCCCTCGATGGCATCCAACACACACACCATCTGGTTCCCTGATGCTGTGGTGTGGGTGAGCCTGAGGGCGGGGTTGTGGAATTCGACGTCTCGAGGATCCACCTCTTGAAAACCAGGTTTAGCGCAGCTGTTCCGAGTTACATGTCATAGACATGCCCTCTCGTTTCAAACATGCATCCATAAAAGGACGGAACCACTACGGTAATGTGAGTAACGGTTTTGGGACCCAAACGTATTTTCTTTTCATCTGGGAGCAAGAGCGGTAGCATGCACAAACGTTCGATAAGAGTATGCATGCGAAGAGTTGAAGTGTTGCACGCGAGATTTCTTCTTAGATTATCTCGACAAATTAGTTGTATGTAGATCGCGATTGTGTGTCATTGAACATGCCATGATGTACTTTGGCTTGCCATTTTTTCTTGCTGCATAGGATTTAGAGGTTCTATTCGTCATGCTGCCTGGTGTTTCTACTTCGCATTTTTTCGGGTAAGGTTGAGGGAGGCATTTGTCCGTCACCATTATGGAGTATCCACACCTCACGAGGAATCAGGCGCACCCCCCGTTGAATGAAAATGTACAGATCGCCGATGGCGGTGCCGAGCACGGCTCTCCCGCTGCTCCGGTCAGACTCTTCTAGGCTGTCGATGACCTTGTTGTTCTTCCCCCACGTCTGAAGTGGCGGCGAGTCGTCGATGAACGTCAAGCACGTGAAGTCCTGGATCACGCCAAAACCAACAGTAAATCGAGGGCGCAAGATGTGGGCTGACATTTTTGTGGGAGAGGTGCGTGCAACTTGATCTTGCATGATTGTCAGGAACTACAGTAGGCTAGCTCCGTTCTGGGCTAAACCCAGGGTGCCCGTTTGGCGCCGGACGTCTACACTTCCCGCGTGATCATGTGCGTTGGTAGTGACTTGAAACTGGAAAGGAAGAACTGGATAACAACAAGCTCAACGAGCAATGTACAGTCGGCAGCGCGAACTCTTTAAGTCAAGCGGACTATGGCCCGTACGATACTAATAGCTCGGCTGTACAACCTGACGACCAAACCAGGGAGGCCGTAAGCCCACATAGCACCGCTCGTGCCGCAAACGTAGATCATATCCTAAAGACCTCTCCGTCAAACAAACATCGTTGGCGTTCGTCAAACGTCAGCGTTGGGGGTTGGGGTAGGTTCGACATGATCGAAGGGCGGGTTCTTACCGTACCAGGAAATGAGGAGCGCGTGGAAACGGGAAGAAAAACCCGGATACATACGTCCCAATTCCACCAATCCTCAGAGTAGAGTGTTGGTTGCGCAAGAAATTGTTCCGGCAGATGAGGCACCCAAGCATCATCTCCAAAACGGAACGACAACGAGAAATGTCCATGTTGTACGCTCACCCCAGTTTTTCCCTTCCCATTGAGCCTAGCGGATGAACCGTCCAAGATCCACCGTAAGTTTCTCCGTCCCCTGTTGTTTTTTTCTCTTTCTTCCTGAACGCGCTGCAGTAGATTTGGAACCAAGGGGCTACGGTTCAGTGGTGCCGCATGAGGTACTGTCTCCGACCGCCTCCTACTGTTCATATTATACCGAAGAGTGTGGACGCCTTCCAGAATGTGTATGGGTCATGCCAACCTGGGGCATGTCTGCTCAACCTTCCTCCGAACGATTCGCCTGTCGTCCCTACTCTTTATCATTTGTCGGTGAAATTTGATCCCAGTCCGCGAATCGTACCGCTTCCTACGGTCTGGAGACGGGGTAAGAGTTGTACTTCATGCTTGAAAACGTTTCGCGCTGCTCCTCTTCATTTTCGTCCCGCTCATGACCAAATAATAGACTGTGCAGAGTCGATGTTCGCTTTACACCTGTGATGATGTCCATTTAGCGTTGGCCAGAACCGGCGGAATTTCGTCTTTCGATGGCTCCTCCAGCCCTCGCGTCAGCAGCCAGAACTTACTGTGTCGCACCTGCTCCGTTGTTCAACAGTGAAAGCGGCGCGGAGAAGAGTCACAAAGGGTAGGATCATCAGGTTGTGCGTGTATGGTACCGCCTGTCCTGATGGTTTCCAATCTACAAGTATTCCACAACAAAGGGCTCGTTTCGCTGTCTTGGCGGGTAATATGTGAAGCTACAATTGCGTCGACCTCGACGAATATCGATCTGTGGCCAGAATGAATCCCGAAATTCTCTTGAGCCAGGTCGGTCAGTTGTGACGTTGGTATTCGATTCAACATTATCTCGATCCTTTTCAAATGCAGAGTGGACTGTTGAAGTTGAGAAGTCGTGATGAGTGAATGCAGATCAATACATCTAGCCCCGAAAGCGACATTGATAGAACCGCCGGGGCACAGGGTGTCCACAATCCTAGTGACTTCCGCAACGTTAATGCAGTCTGTTCTTGCAAAATTATCGCCCCCCTCCACGAGCTCACCTAGTGCTCAGTAGAAACGTCTGCTACATCAGCCCTTTTTATCAGGGAATGGTGGAAAACGGTGTCATCTTGTGTTGGTGTTGACGTTGGTGGTCATACTGGCACATTGTTAGCCCCTCTGACCACTACCCATCGCTCATCACAAACAAATCCCACAGGCAGGAAACGCGTTCGCGCGACCATAGACTCAACCACCCAAAGGCTTAAACCACTTGCGTGCCTTTCAGCAAAATGTGGAACGCTTGGTGCTCACCCCTATGGAGACCAGGCAGTAGCACGCATCATCGATGTGGAGCGCTTGCCCTGGGATTGGCTTTTTCGACGGCACGCCGTATGACTAAGAACGAGAAGGCGCGGCACATCACGACGTCGGGGCAAGGATTTTCGTCGTCGAATTTTTTGTAGATTTGATCGATAGAGCCTCGGAGTGTGTTTGGTGGGATGGAACACGTGTGGGTTATTCCAGCCAAAAAAGCCGATCGCTTTACCCAAGTATCCAACGCGAATATCTGTGGAGGCCAGGACGCATTCAATTCTTGTTGAGATGGCGATGTATTGACAACTTGCCTTTACGCGGCGCGGGCTGGGACGGAAGGTTAGTGCGGATCGATCTGTCGGAAACCCATTGCAACACTCTAGTGATCGGGCCAAGACGTCTCGCTTGATATGCTCCATTTCGACAATTCAAAACGGTCGTACATTTATGGTCCGTTTGCTCACAAATTCACACAATTTTCCCCTGCGCAAAGGTGCACTTTTCTCGGGGTGGGGGGGGTGTACTCATAGTCGTGCATGCCGTAGTCGTTAGACCATTGACCTCGCATCCCTACAAAGCCGNCTGGTGCTTTCACTTCCAGAGACAGTTGTAAGCACTGTGTAACTGCCTCGAGGGTGCTTGACCATTTTAACACAACGTGGTGCGATCATCCCCCTTGCGCGGAGTGAGGGTTCACCCCGCACAACATGATCTACTCAACCATCATTATGGTTACCGCCCAAAAAAAATAAACGGAGGAAAAAAAAAAAAACGGTAACCTGGTTGCCGAGTTCACGAAGTGAATTGGCTTGTTTTACAACGTCGTTGCCAAGCGACGAAAACCCAATCCCGATGGCAAACACCGGGGGGGGCGGCTTGTTTTACAACGTCGTTGCCAAGCGACGAAAACCCAACCCCGATGGCAAACACCGAGGGGGACTTTTCTCGGGGTGGGGGTATTTATTCCGAAATCTGAAAATACCTCGTAAATCGTTGTTTCAAGGCGCATCTTCTTAAAGAAGTTTATATTTTTTGTCGTCCTTCGCTCGATATGTTCCAATATTCAAGAAATCTTGCCTTGTTTCTGGAGGGCGGTGTTTCTTGCAGACACAAAATCTGAGACCGGATTTGGACACCTCTCGTGATTTGCCACCGACGATATTTTTCCGATTTCCAATTTGACAAAAAATAACGAAGTTATGGGCAAAAAAACGATTTTGGAGGGTATTTTGCTGAGTTTCTTGGGGACAATCCAACCATACGATTCAAAAATATACTGGGCAATCGATTCCTCTCGTGATTTGCCACCGACGATATTTTTCCGATTTCCAATTTGACAAAAAATAACGAAGTTATGGGCAAAAAAACGATTTTGGAGGGTATTTTGCTGAGTTTCTTGGGGACAATCCAACCATACGATTCAAAAATATACTGGGCAATCGATTCCTCTCGTGATTTGCCACCGACGATATTTTTCCGATTTCCAATTTGACAAAAAATAACGAAGTTATGGGCAAAAAAACGATTTTGGAGGGTATTTTGCTGAGTTTCTTGGGGACAATCCAACCATACGATTCAAAAATATACTGGGCAATCGATTCCTCTCGTGATTTGCCACCGACGTTTTTTTTCCGATTTTCAAAAAAGATCGGGTTTCGGAGATATTTCGGGTGGTTTCACACGCCCTCGGGGAATTTTTTCCCGCCACACACACACACCAGAGGAACACACACACACCCTTTACGCACGCTACGGAAGGCGCACACGCGCTCCGGGCACATGGGTCGCCCAAGAAAGGAAAAGCGCAAGCGGGCAAGGAACGCCGACGACACGATTCGGAAGGCCCCTTCCCCCCCTGCGGACTCTGCTGTGGGCAATGTGTATATGATTTATGTGTCACCGTGTGTTGTACTGTTGGTTTCTCGCGTTTAGGCGCGGTAGAGGCGTTCGTCATGGTGACCAACTCAACGCTTTGGTTTGAGAGAACGGATGTGCTGATTGCTGCATGCTTTGGATTACAGCGGCTTCACCAGGCAAGGGTTGGGTAGAGAGTTAAGGCGGTATTGTATGTAACGTGTAAGTAATGTAGATATGGATTGACAACGGTTTAACTGATGTTATGAAAGCAAATACGTGCATCAGGGAGGGGTTTGGGGGGCTTCGTGGTGTACTTTGGGGCTCCGTGGGGTCATGGGGGGTGGGTGGGAATTCCGTGGGTCATTTTGGTCAAAAAATGTCGCATTTTACCCAATCACCAAAAGCTCATCGGATATGGACGAAGCTCGACGCCGCGGTCACGGTTTACTTTCCAAATCGTTTTTTTTCGAAAGTTATCGCGAAAAACAAGATCACTATTTGCCCGAACGGACCATAGTTACATCGAAAGAGCAGTCCGAACGGATGTAAATCATTCAACCGTCCCCTACGTTCCTCTTGCCTGGTAGGGGTTGAAGCGAAACGCATGGATTGGTCCTGGCCCTGCTTGCACTTTGGCGATGGCCACCCCCTTTCTCCAGTCCCAGATGTTGGTCGTGCTCTTGCAGTCTGCACCCACCGAGCAGAGCAGCCACCCATCGGGGCTAAAGTCCAAACAGCAGATCTGAAAATCGGGGTGTGGGGGGTGGTGGCGTTACATTACTAAACATTGCCAATGTAGAGCGCCACTGGTCTAGCGTCACATTTGTGCGATTTCGGACAATATCTCTAAGTCGGGCTAGGGAGTCCAGAGAGTAGAGCCGTCAAAAGGCGGGGGGATCCACAGGGAGTTGTGCATGTAGGCGACACACCATCGAACATTCACGCGCCTTACGATGAACACGAATCGTTTCTTCTGTTCCGTTCCCGCAAGTTGTCTGACTCCCACTTTTATCCCTGCTCAGCTGACGGCTAAACGTTTTAATAGCCGCAGCCGAGAAGGTGAGCTTGCCTTCCGTTCGTGCCCTACTAGCGTCGCTATCGTGGCCTTGTCATTTTTCAGCAGCGCACTGCCCTCTGCACACGCGGTCGAGCTGTTCCACACCAGAACGCTAGGCGTACGCCCAACCTGTCATACGAAGGGCGAAACGTGCAGTGCTTTAGAGGCAATACCGACACCCTCTGACACTTTTGAGTTCGTCTTCGCGCGGCTATATGGATTCCGTACCGTGGGTACAGTATAGGCATCCCACGTGAACACTCTTTACAACAATATTGGCCTAGTGATTTCCTTCGGCAATCATGAGAGACCTGGGCTTGTGGGTGTCAAGCCTGTCCCCGAAATCGAAGCGGGTCGCACAACACCATGTGACCATGAGGGATCTCCGTGTCAAATTTTTTCCGTACACCGAATGTTTTGAAGGGTTCGTCCAATCTGCCACGACCACACGAACGAGATGGACGTTCCATGTAGGCCAAAGAAAAAGGAGGGGGAAAACTCTGAATCCTTGCGGTCATCTCATCGATACAGACTTAGTGTTTCACCGGCCCGCTAAATCCGTTCGCCACCTGCTTGCCGCAGCACCACGTGTTTCTCGTGACAGAAGTGCCCTTGGCAGACGTAGCCCTGGAGCGGCAAAACAGTCCTAAAAGTCGTACATAGTCATACACCCTACGGGCTCTGCACATTCCCTCGTGTATGTCACGTCCCACATCGGTAGGCACAGCCCGGTATGTGCCCGTCAGTAATTCAAGAAAGTCACTCGGTCACCTGCCCAGATGCCACGAGCACGCCTCCGGGGTGAACCGCCACGGCCGTTACATCGTCAGTATGTCCGTCGAAAAATCTTTGCATCATCTCCACGTCCCCGCCTTCCTTATCCCCTCCCGTATCCTCGCTACTGTCGAATTCCCGTCTTCCCTGTGCTCCTCCCCCCGCTGCCTTCTCCTTGTATTCCCCGTCTCGAATCGGAAATTTGTGCATGACGACCAAGGCTGCCGTGGGGTAAACCACCTCGAAATGCGTCTTTGCCTGATCTTTGGCCATGCTTCCACTTCCACGATCTCTGCCACCGGTCGGCATATGGTTTTCCCCAAGAAAGAACGCGTTGTTGTCGGTGGAGGGGTAAAAGCCGCCGCCGTGATACCCACGCGCTCGCTCGAGGCGCAGCCTGTGAGGGGGCTCAGAGAGGAGGGGCGACGTCGCCGGTAGATCGTCGAAAGACCCGTCGTCCGCGAAAGAAGGTCGAAACACCGCGCCTCGGCACTCCGGGTACCTGGTGCAATTTCCATGTGCGGTCTCGATTCTTCGTGAGTTTGTGTCGATTCTACGTGCTGGGTGGGAAATATGTTGACGAGAGTATGCTGGTCCTAGTTAAAGCCAGCAGGAAGGCGTGCTCGCCTTGACATCCAATCCAGTCAGTGTTTAGTCGAAATCCCCTTCCCGTAGAGCGGAGACATGAGCTGAGAAAGTTTCAGAACCACTTGCGGGTTTGTGGGGCAAGGCTTGGTCGAGTACGACGAATATCCGGCCTTCCTAGGCTGGTAAAATGACACAGGCCGGTGAACCGAAAAGTTGACAGTGCGGGCACACATCTACTATGCCTGGCACATTTTTCCAGTGGAATTCACACTACTGTCACGGTGTTCGTTTGCAGTACGGCCTCTTTGGATAGAACAGCTGGTGCATAAACTTGCAGTCAATTCGGGAATAGGTATTGCTCCAGCATATCGCTTGAGCCTGTGTTCTCAGGGTCACTCGCAGCTTTTGTGACGGGTTGGACATTCATTCCTCTTTGGCCAAGATCGTCCTCGACTAGGTCCATCTCAGGCCTCGTTTCGCCCACAATCCTCGTGCGTACCAACTGCACGAATATCACCCACGTCGTCTCCACCCCCGAGAGCAGGCAAACATGAGTATTCACCTGAAGGCCGCCTCACTTGCTTCTTCCTGATCGTACTGCCTCACCGTGCCTGAGACAAGCTTTGGCGGCCTGAACCTTGGAGGGTCGTTCATCTTTCTAGCCTCCACCGCGAGGTGCTGATCGAGACCGGGGATCTTGGCAAAGACTCCCCCCCTTGGAGTCTCCCTGTTGGGCAAGCTTAATCGCATCAGGTTCTGTGACATCTACCACCCGGCGAAGAGTCGGAAGCGATCCGTAATCCCTGCACACTCCAACCTCTTGGGTATTTAGTTTACCACGATTACGGTTAAGGACAGAGGGAGGATTCGTTGCAGAGCGTTGACTGTAATATTTATCACGGACTGAGACGATGATTGCCACAAGGACAAAAGAACGCACCTCCGTTTCCCTTCCCACTGGAGGACTCAGTCAACCTAATCTCTCCATGTTCATATCCAATCGCGTACGCCACGCACCTGTACTTGCGTGGGGAGTCTATATCCTTGTCCGTTGACATCACGTCCAGGGCAAACGCTTGTACCTACTACGAGAGTCTCTACCCGTCCCTCCTCCAGCCTCTCACCTGTCCTCGTCAAGGACGTATTCGTCGCTCGCCTTCCACCGCCTGCTTGAAAACGTGGCTGCTTTTGACCTGTTCTCTTTACTCTCGTCGTCATCATCATCGCCGTCACTTCCACCGCCACCCTCGACACCATCCACCCTTCCCCCGTTTTGACGCTCGTGTTTCGCCCTGACCAGCGGCTGGTCTCGAGGCCGGCTCCTTGGCGACATCGGCCGAGGAAGGTCCGGTTCGTTTCCCGGAGATTGGGTAATGATGGCGAGGTTGCCGCCCCTGCTGCCCCTGCGAGGCGGCGTGCCTCGGCTGATGGGGTTGCTCTTCCTTCTAGGTGGCGTCGGCGAAAGCCCCTCCTCCCTTTCCTGCCCCGCCAAGCCTGCGTTGCCGCCATCGTCCTCTTCCGTTCTGGAGGTGACGCCTGCTCTTGTTTTCGTGCGGAGCTGATGACCGTAGTCCTTGCTCTCAGGGAGATCGAGGAGCTCGGCCGTGGCCCTGTCTTGGATTTCCTTAGCTGCGGAGGCGGGAAGAATGACACCTGCTGCTGTTGTTATCTGCTTCGGACCAGGGGTATCCTCTTCCATATCCTTGGATACAGAAGCGGGAAGCGTGGCACCTGCATCCGTCGTGATATGCTTTGGACCCGGAGTCTCGTACTTCGTCGGGGGTTGACCTTCCGGATCGACAGTGCCTGCGCCGGTATCGGTAGCTGCAGGGAGTGAAGACTGTTCTACCCCACCGGTTACATGTTCTTTCTTCAGAGCGGTACCAGCGCCGCCGGTGCCACCGCTACCCTCACCAACACTAGGTTCTGGAGCCACCGCCGTTCCCTCCGCCTCCCTGGTAACCGAAGAGTCGACGCTACCTGAAGCACCCTCAGCCTTTCGTGCTGCCACCGCTGTTGACTCCACCGCCTTCAACCCACCGGTGCCAACCACTTCGATCGTTGACCCCGTACCACTTGCATCACCACCCGGGGCTGTGGAGGTAGTGCCGTCCCCGGCGGAAGGGCCTTCTCCCGGTTCCATAGTTGGTTTCGAAGATGCGGACGATTTCAACTGGTGCAAGTGTTGGGTACCGGCGATCACGGTATTCTTTGGGGCAAATTTCCAACACATGCACTTGACTTTCGCTGAGCTCTAATGACGCACGCCGCGAGGCAAACAATTATTCTGCGTTCCTCCCGTACCCAATTGCCATATACGTAGCTTGAGATGCGCCATCGTGTTCGAGTGAGAGCCATAGTAGCAGGGTGGGTCAACCGCTACTGTAGCTTCTGACGTTGTACTTCTATTGCTACTTTCAAACGCCATGCATCTTACCATCTCAACATCGGAGACATTAGCAACGGTGGTACACGTTCTGGGGCCTTGGCTTTGTTTCTCAGCCCAGGTTTCTATGCGTCAATCATCCTCGGCCAAGACCAACTCGCCTTTCTTGAGGCCGACGACCGCCGTCGCCCCTTCTTCTCACGGTCCCTTTTGTCTTTCTTCACCTTCGAACCCCGGCGTTCTGTCTTGTCTTCGCGAAAACCTTGGTCTCCACTGCCTTCTGTCGTTGCGGATCTTATTCCATCTATCTCTTGGCCACCTGAGTCGCTTGTGTGGTGTTCAGGCTCGTGTTTGGAGTGACGGTGTCCTTTCTTGGAGTCACGGTGCTTTGACGTTTTTGCACTAGCCTCGCCCTCTTGCCCCCCTAGACCATTCGGGTCTCCTCCTGCAGCGTCGTTCGGCCCGTTGATGCTCCTCCTGGCGCGTTCTTTCTTATTCTCTGCTGGCTTTGGCTTTGACTCTGATTTACTTCCTGCTTCACCAACCCTCTCCTCTCCCGCTTGATCCGTCTGTTTCTTCTTGCTTCCGTCGGAGATGCTGGAGCTGCGGTTTTTTTCCCGCCGGCTTGAGCGTGATTTGGCTTTAGACCCCTCTTCACCACCCTTGGTGGGCTTTCCCTCTGGAATGGATGACTCTGCCTCCTCTTGTTTCTTTGAACGGCTAGGCGCTGACTTGGATGGACCAGTATCACCGACTTCCTCTCGTGTCTCGCCTTTCTCGCCTCGGAGGATGTTTCCGCTGCTGCTGCTGCGACGCGAGTTAGACTTCTTGTCGACCTCCTCCTCCCCTTTTTTCTCGTCGTCCCTTTCGCCTGTCTCTCGCTCGAAGACCTTGGTCTTCTTCGATTTGTGCTTCCGATTATCACTTTCCTCCCCGTTGCTGACTATCTCCAATTTGTTGTCCGCTTGCTTGCTTCTACGGTGTTTCTTTGAGCTACTCACTGCTGGTTTCTCCTCGATACTCTCCTCCGCGAGTATCGCTTGAACGCTGCTACGTTTTTCCTTCTTGGTGGGGACTGCAGATTTAGATGTAGATGCCCTTGGCTTCTTTCCAGCAGCAGCTTCTTTCTCTGCGTCTACGGGGTCATTGCTGTCCTTTTCACCTTTTTCCCGTTCGGTCATCGACGGGCAGGAGAAGTTCTTGCTGCCCCCAAGAACTTTACGTTTGAGGTGGGCGGATGGCAGATAACTGCTGTGCCGCGAGATAGCATGTGCCCCTCGACAGCACCGTGTCCTCTCGTAAGAAACAGTACTGTACTGGCCGCGATGATTGGTTGCCCCCGAAGGTGGCGAGTGATAAATGAAAGGCGACTGGCGCTAGGGTTGGCAGAACGCAGGAGACAGCCAGGAGATCACCCCTGCGCGTCGAAGGGGCAACAGTCTCGCCGCATTACGCCGCGTTCTGCGGCGTTCCGCCGCGTTTCTGATGATTTTCTGTTTTCTGATCCCGTTGTATTGTACCTTTGTATCGAAGTTATTCAAGTTTGATGGCAGACAGCAGTAGCACATGTATAATAGGCAATAGGCACGAAGGAAGATGGGATTCTTTTTTCATTCCTTGGGTCGGAACCTTTCGGTTAGAGCAGTGAGGTCGTATATGTAGGGTACCACAAGAAGAAATTCCTTTTGAGAATCTCTGCAAGAATGCGCAGACGTGACAAATGCGCCTCCAAGTCTACATGTCTACATAGATCCTGTTCAGCATGGCTGAAGGTAGTACAACCGCTAGCTGCGGGTTGATTCAGCCCTCTCCTCTCTCACATCGCACGAAGTCTGTTTTGGGAGATATCTTGCTTTCTTGTTCTTGTCCTCCCGCGTCGGGATTTGAAATTACTGGGGTAGCTACAGCTGCGGGTTGATTCAGCCCTCTCCTCTCTCACATCGCACGAAGTCTGTTTTGGGAGATATCTTGCTTTCTTGTTCTTGTCCTCCCGCGTCGGGATTGGAAATTACTAGGGTAGCTACAGCTAATTCATGCAGTAGGGCCAAGGAGAGGTAGACAGCAGTACTGTACAGATCCAAACGCCCCGGCTTGGACACCGGGGCTATGCAGAAGCAGAGAGCACGGTGAGGGTGGCGGAGTGACCGCACGCCGTGGGGGTATGCCTCAGAGAGGAAAGGAGAGAGTCCAGAGATGGAGGGCCCCACCGCTCCGGGACAAGAAGACAACTCTTTGGGAAACAAGGCAAGAACCGGGGCGTTAGCCCGAGTGTTGTTGATTGGTTTCAAGCCTAGTGCTGCTGGATAAGCACGGCTGGCCCGGTTGACAGGAATGATGGCACAAAGACGTTTATTAGGTTGCCCTCGTAGACAGCAAGCAACAGGAGAGAGTGGGCGCCAGGTGCGCCACAACCATCAATCAACAGTCGCAAGAAATTCACCGACCTAAAGACGCATAGCCTTTCCGCAACTCGGAACAATTCCAACTACCAAAGACACAACGACACGTCGGGAGATACCCCGAAGATCCACGGCTGTGGAACGGTCACGTGCACACTTTCTCGCTCTCAACCACACATGAGTTCTACCGCAGTAGCGTTCGTAAGGATGACATGATCCACCTCACGGACACCCTCCCTGATTCTGTACATCGTCACGAATGCTCGAATAAACCGAAGCATTCAGGGTACTCATGGAGAAGCAAAATAAACGAAGGGAAACCCGGCCACCGGATCAAAACCCTCCGCCTCCAAGGTCATCCTGCTGAATGACTTGTCAACACAAAATCAACACAGCAGTCACCAAATTGCAAACCTCCACGTTCACAAAAAAACATCAGACATTTGCTGCTCCTCTTCAAGTAGCCTCATGTATCAAGTTGCTGTTGGCACCGGGGCGCGCCTACAGCCCCAAGCACCGATGCCAAGTAGCAGCTGAAAAACGAAAGATCTGACGCTACATCGCTCATCACAGCGGAAAACCACAAAATATCTGACGCTGCATCGCTCCCAACTGACGACCAAAAAAAGGGCAGCCTCCCAAATCGCAGGGAGAGGTGCCCCCCTCAAAACCTGCACATCAGAGGTACACCAAGCAGCACTCAACCGCAAACAGTTCGTCAGCAAACTTGCTCGTTCATCGCTACGGGAGACACTGGTAACAGACATCTTCACTACTCCTTTTTTTCAAGCAGTCCCCTCCCAGCAACAGGATCCCTACTGTATCAAGTTTGCCGTCAGCACCGGGGCTCCTCTACAACCCCGAGCACCGTTGTCGATCCATAACAGAAAAGCGAAAACCAACGCTACGTGGTTCTCAGCGGAAGGATATATAAAAAGGCAATCAATCACATCGCAGACAAGGGTGCCGCCCTCGACCTGTGCATCAATGAAACATCAGCAGTATCTCGACCAAAAACAGCTCATCAACCCACTTGTTGGTACCGCTACGATGGGAGACACTGGTCGCCATTCATCACGAAAAATTGGATGCAGCCTTCGTCAACCAAACCTGAGTTCAGAGCAAGTATCTCAGCCTCAAACTGTATGGGCTGGGAAGTAATTCCGAAATCATCAATCAAATCAGTGTGACCGCGGCGCCCCGGGTCATCCAATACAAAATGAGACAGCAACAGAATGCCACATCGCCATCAATATTCATCATGCAAGGACGCCTCATGCATCTACCTATACGACGAGCTACTGAGATGAGCATGGCGGACCAGACAAGCAACCTCGAGTTTCGTAGGCTGCCTGCGTAACAGCTACAACCACAAGGGGGCAGCAAGCAAATCAGCAAAAAGCAAGACACACACACACCCGGGGAAAAATATGGCGCCCAACAATTCCTAACAACAGTTGCATAGTCGGGCATGCGGAGGCAGCTTCTCAGAAAAAAATAACCGACCGCGCACACGCAGAGGAAGGAGAGACAGAAAGCAACACGCCGAAATATTCAAAGCGCTTCATATGCGACGTCCAACTCTTCTACTTCCATCGAGGCCACAGCAACCTCATTCGCCACTTTCGATGCGCATTTTTTCACATGATGCCCTCTTCCTCCGCACCTCTGGCAGACCTGTTGAGGGTGCCAAGGACCAGGGGTGGGTACTTGATTGAAGAAGGACAATGGGTCAAAGGGGAAGGTTGACGGGCGAGTGCAACATGCGTTCGTAGCAGTCGGTGAGGGGTCTAGGAGAAAACGATGGTCGAGGAAGCAAAACGGGGGGGACGACCATGCGTAGCGAGCGATGGTGCCGCCGAACAAAAGTCCGTCCGCTGCCACATGGTGGGACGAACACGGCAGCGGACAGACATTTTTTCGGCGGCACCATCACCCGCTACGCATGCCTGTTCGTCCCCCCGGTATTTCGTGCTCACCATCGTTTCCTCCTATTATATATACCATGTGGCAGCGGACGGACTTTTTTTCGGCGGCGCCATCACCCGCTACGCATGCCTGTTCGTCCCCTCCGTTTTTTTTCCTCGACCATCGTTACCTCCTAGACCCCTCCCCGACTGCTACGAACGCATGTTGCACTCGCCCGTCAACCTTCCGCTTTGACCCATTGTCCTTCTTCAAGTCCAGAACCTAGCCCTAGTCCTTAGCACCCTCAACATCTCCTCCTCTTCCAGAGTGTTGTCGCTGAGCAGTTGTTGCTTTTGCACGTCGTACTCGGAGGAAAGAGCGTCAAGGAATCGAGCGTACACGACCATCTTGTGGATGGGCTGGCCGAGTGCTAACTCTATACTAGTTACGGTGTTGGAAGAAAACTCGAGGAGCCTGGTCTCTCTCTTGTCGGGCAGTGTATAACTTTCCGATAAGCGAAATCTGCTTGCCGCCAGTTAGTGGGGTGAACGTCTGCTCAAGTGCACGCCACGCTGCGGAGGGCCCCTTGCTGTTGTAAACCACCAGCTTGGGAGTCTCGTCTGAAATCGCTCCTACCAACATGCCCCACAATCCCGGTACACATGAACCTCTTCTGCAGCTACCCTCTGTTCTATCATGCCATCGTCATCCATCCCTTGGATCTCAATGTCTCGGCTATCGTTCAGAGCATGCATCATTCCGCACGTTTGCACCTGCGTCATGAAGTCGTTCTTGAACATTTGACTAGCCAGTTCTTTTCTTGGCCATCGAAGTTTAGCTGCTTGAGGCGTGGGATCCGGGCCTTCATGGTTGGGTCGTGCCGTGCCGGCGGGTCACTGGTTGCGCTTTCGCGCGAGACGTCCTCCGCAGACGGCAGCGTGGGTCCTTGCGGGGCTGTGTCCGGCAGTCCTCGTTCTCTCTCGAGCCCCTGTCCGGTGATCGGCGCTTGTTCCACACGACGACTAGCGCCGGGAGGGGCGTGCCTTCCCCCCGTGACTCTCCCCCGCCACCCGCTCCGGTCGTACTTCCAGCTGGCGGTGTCTCGGGCACTACCCGAGACAGGGCTTCCATGACGGTCCCAAACTTTTCCGTCATCATGCTCTACATTTTTGCGGCGGCCTGGTCGATGGCGGTCTTGACCTTCTCGTGAGTCGGGGTTGCATCGCCATTGCCGAACTCTCCAGACGCAGACGGCGTGTGCCCACTTCACTAGGATAGTATGGGGTTGACCTTCGCTCCAGAGTGTTGATTGGTTTCAAGCCAAGTGCTGCTGGATAAGCACGGCTGACCCGGTTGACAGGAATGAAGATACGGTAACGACATTTATTAGGTTGCCCTCGTAGACAGCAAGCAACAGGAGAGAGTGGGCGGCGCGTGCGCCAAAAGCGTCAAGCAACAGTCGCAAGAAATTCACCGAGGTAAAGACGCATAGCCTTTCCGCAACTCGGAACAATTCCAACTACCAAAGACACAACGACACGTCGGGAGATACCCCGAAGATCCACGGCTGTGGAACGGTCACGTGCACACTTTCTCGCTCTCAACCACACATAAGTAACTACCTCAGTAGCGTTCGTAAGGATGACATGATCCACCTCACGTACAAGTGTTCCCCAGAAAATAGGAAAAGAACGAAAAAAGAGGTGAAGATGGAGGAAAAGGAGGGGTCGGGCGGCGCGTAGGCTAGCTAAGAAGAGAGCAGCGCGCGCCGCACGAAAGAAAGAGACAGCACGGTCAACTTCTTATGGTAGCAACCTGGAATGTGCGGACTTTGGCTGTAAACGGGGCCAATGGATACGGGCGAGCCTACAGCGTTCTACACGAGGCAGCGAGACAAGACATATCCATGGTAGGAATGAAGGAGACACGGAGGGCAGGTCGAACGGAATTTACAGCAGCGGGTTTTCGGGTGTTCTGCTGTGGCACGGAGACTGGTGGAGTCCATGGTGTGGCGATAGCCGTCAAAGAGTCACTGTGCAAGACATCCACGTTCACTACGGAGTTTATCGATGAACGCCTTATGGCCACGAGGTTACTGTTGGCAAGCCACCGTGGAGCGGTCAACTTCGTAGCCGCGTATGCTCCAACCGAACCTTCAACCGCCGACAGCAAGCGCGTGTTCTGGGGTAAACTTGACAGTCTCGTGCGGAGGATCCCTTCCAAAGAATGCGTGTACAATGTTGTACTTCGTAAGTTCTAATGGACGCCAACACGAGGACGGGAAATAGTCTAGGTTGGACGGAGGGGACAGAAGGGTAGTAGGAATGGGCATTATGAGCTCAACGACAATGTCATGCTACTGTTAAAAATCGCCACGGAAAACAGGCTAGCTCTCACGAACACGTTCTTCGAGACACGCAAGCGCGGAAAATGGCACACATACAACGGTGTGCCGGGAAACGATTGCAAGCGCCTTGGCTACATCTTGACAATGCAGGCACATCACGACCGAGTATCTAACGTGGTCGTCATCTTCTAGCCGGCTCGCCCAGTCAAAGCAGACTCAGACCACAATATGGTAGTAGACACGGTCAACCTCGGTGGCAGGCTTGCCTACAACAGCAGTGCAGTCCGGATTCTAAACTGAAACAGAAGCGATTCAACCGACGGGAGTTGCAGTTCGAAGCAGCACGGTGTGCGGCGACTAATCGATTCCTCCTCAACCTCGACACACGACTGGACGAGCGAACAACCACCGCCGCGGAATTGGCGAACGACGTTTCGAATGCTCTCCTCCAAGCAGCGCGGACGACCCTAGGGAAGGAACCGCGGAGACCGCACGCAGGAGTGGTGTGAGACCCCAGAGAAGAGAGCAGCGCTGGAGCAGGCCCTTACCAAACGTCGGGTAGCGCGCCGGGCGATGAGGGGCATCTGGAACTCAGCGACGTGGAGGGTTCTCAAAGCAGCGTGTAAGGGAGTGGCTACAACAGTCGCAACGGGCATTATGCCCACCTGGACGGATATGTGACTGAACTCGAAGCAATCTACAAATATCGCGACATGCGAGGACAGTACCAACACCTCAAGAGATCAGTGGGCCTCAGCGGGAGACAAGCGGGGGGACAGCAGTTCGTCG